AAAATCGATACAGGGCTTTAGAATATCGATACAGTATCGGGAAATGAAATATTGCGATATTTCAGTGTATCGATATTTTCTTACACCCCTATAAAGCACTAATCAGAAAATTAGTTCCCCTATTAGTGCTTTAGGGGAACTGTGCCCACCACTGTGTTTGGATTCAAACCTGCGATCTCCCAATGACAGACTTGCTTTCTATAACCTCTGTGTCGGCACTGCTTTAGGACAGTGCAAACCAGTCTGGATGATTGGCAGGTCGGTTTGATCCCAGGAGGTAACTGGTGTCCCTCACCCTGGTTTCTGATCACATCCTGGGAAGTGTGCACCTTCGGCCGTTGTTTCTGTTCAATCCTGGCCAGGGCTGCGGCTCCGGCCCTCTGGGCTCCTTCGCTGGGAGCGTGGCGGTTCTTCTTCGAATCCGAGCTGCTCTGCACCACCTCCAGCTTAGTGCTGAAAAACAACAACAACAAATAAACAAGTAAACAGGTAAACATCAACAGGCCGTGATGGTAAAACAAACTGCATGATGCAGTCAAGGTCATCTGAAAGCACCTTGGTGTGTAAAAAACAAACAAACAAAAAGTCATTTTCAAATTTAATTTCTGATCAAGTTCAACTTAAAGGGTAGTTGTAAGGAGGTGTTCCACCCTTTAATTATTACACAATATTAAATATTGTGTTGTTTTTAACCAAAATGTGTTGTCAGTTTTGTTGGAACTTTATTAGGGACAGACAAAGTTTCCTACAAACAGCATTTAAACCTTTGTCTGTAAGTATATATTATTTATTTGAATACCGTGATTTAACTTGTAATCAGTGTTGTATAAACTACCACAAAGTTATACTCAAGTTTAACTTTGTGGTACTTTATAAACGTACAAGTAAATTAACGATAAAAACAAAAAAAAACACTACAGTAAAAAGTCTTAAAATATCTAATCATTTTTGTACTTCAATATTAAAAGTAAAAGTATTGATTTAAAATGAGCAATTAGATTTTACATAATGATTATATACACATATACAT